TTATTTATTTTATTTGGGGCTTGTTTTAAATTTTCAATTTAGTTTTGTTATTTACATTTACATTATATTTAAATTTTGTCATTTAGCAGACGCTTTTGTCCAAAGCGACTTACAAATGAGGACAATAGAAGCAATCAAAACCAACAAAAGAGCAATAATATGCAAGTGCTATATTAGTATATTATTATAGTTTTATATTTCAATTTCACAAAGAAACGTACAGTATTTTGTCTAAGCAATAATAAAAGGACACATTTAATTTATAATTTGTCTTAAATCTCATTTTGTTAAAAAAAAATTGTGAATCGAATCGTGAAATCAAAATCGTGAATCAAATCGTGAGTTGAGTGAATCGTTACATCCCTAAAAATAACACTACTAAAATAACCCACTAAAATAAAATTACAACATTAGGTAGTAAATGATGACCAAAGTTTAATTTTAGGGTGAACTATGCTTTTAAAGGCATTTCAATAACCCAAAGCATCACATAAATGAGACAAACACCAACTCCTTTGACCTCTAAAGCTCCTCACCTGCGATGCTTTTGCGTTTCTGCTGTAGAGCGTGATGCGGTGAAGTGGGCACGTGAACGTAGCTGCTGGATTTCAGAGGGTCCTGATTGGCCGTGGTCTTAATGAAATCGATGGCTGCCTGGATCACGCGGAACTGCAGTGCTGTGGCCATTTCTGAAACGACAACAGAGAATTTCCTATTTTGTTTGAATGTCAAGTCACATATCATTGCCATATAAAAGTATTAGTCTTCTTTACCCTGTGTGCGCTGAACTTTGCTGGTTTGCATGTAGCCCAATAGGGTGATCAGGTCTTCAATGATGCGGAAGTACTGAGATCCCGAGGAGCTGCAGGAGTGGATGGTGACGGCCACCAACAGCTGCTGAATGTCACACACCACCAGCTTGTAGTCATTCGGAGGAATCCTACAGAGCAACAACAACAACAAGCTACAGTTAGTCCAAAATGCAGCGGCTAGAGTCCTTACCAGGTCAAGAAAATATGATCATATTACCCCAATTTTACAGTCTCTGCACTGGCTACCTATTAAGTTCCGTATCAGTTACAAAATATTATTACTTGCCTATAAGGCCCTTAATACGTACATTAACTGACAGTCACCACTGATAAGCTACTACTAAATATTGTAGAAACTTAATTTTCTGTAAAGCTGCTTTGCAACGATTTGCATCGTGAAAAGCGCTATACAAATAAACTTGAATTGAATTGAACAACACCATGTAGACTGGCCAGCTACAGTTTCCAAGCAGTTTCCCCATCACTGATGTTAAATACGGTACATTACCCGTTCTCCAGGCCGTTGAGGGTGGACAGTGTGTTGAAGAGCACGTAGAGCAAGCCGTGGTCCAGCAGGATGTCGGCTAGCTTCGGGCAGGCGTTGAGCAGCTGCAGAAGCAGACACAGGCCGTTGTGCACGAGCGAGTTCTCATACAGAGAGTTCTCCAGCAGACCCAGCACAGGGATGATACAGCGCTTCCTGAACGGGGAGATGTTCTCCATATCCTCCAGATCCAGACTGAGAGAAGAGGGATTAGTGGCTGTCATTAACAAGGACGCTGCTGGGTTCATTTAGTAGAAATTAAGCAAGTTTCATGTAGCAGAAATCTTGCAGGAGTTTCTTGAATGTGTTTCTTCACAAACATTAATTAAAATAAATATTCAGCAACATTAACACATTAAGAATCTTTACAAAGAAAAAAAAACCCACTATTGTCAATGTGTCAATTTTATTGTCAAAAAAAAATATATATATATAGTTGTTGTTGTTGTGAAGACACATTGTGCCTTTTTAATTCTTTTATATATTTGACTACTAATACTAATATTTATTTTCAGGTTAATTTTAGTTAATGTTTTAGTAATCTTGTTATATGTTTTTGTTATTAAAAATGTCTATTTAGCTTTTTATCTATTTAGAGCTTCAACTTAAAAAAACAAAAAATAGAAATGGTGTAAACTAAATTTAGTACGTTTTTTATATTATAAATAAGAAAACACACAGACATACACATATACATGCATATACAGTGGTGTGAAAAAGTGTTGGCCTAATAATAATATATACATATTTAATATATTATACTTATATATTATTTATTATTATTAACAATATATTATATAATATATAACAATAATAATGTTATAATATAATATCAGATATAACATTATAATATATTTTTTAATAAAAATAATACAAACTTCAATTTAATTTTGCAAATGAATAAAATAAAATAAACATTTATAGCTGGCATCTGATCAGGCTGTCAGCACTCATGGTCATGTCTTCAGTTCTAGATGGTTGGCAAACTCACTCTTCCTCAAGTCCGACCGGTCGTCCGAACAGCATTTCCAGGAAACACTCCAGCAGACCCTGTGAGCCCTGGTGCAGGTACAGCTGATTGGCCAGCAGCGAAAACCCATGATTCTTCAGGAACTTCTCCTTCTGCTCTTTCTGAGCGCGGCTGAAGTAGGCGTCCAGAAGCTACAAAAATAAATGTACATGTTTTGTGTATCCATGCATGTATGAGATAAGACATAAAAATAAATAAATAAAACCCATTACTCAATCTCCCATCTATCAGAGAGATCAATAAAACTGGTCAATCAACTAACAAACTATTTCCATATCAAACAAACCAAAGCAGCAGATGCGATAAACAGTAATGGAGAAACAGTGAAAGGCCAGTCATTTTACAATCCTAAAGGAAATAGTGTATCTTATATTTTCCGAATTTGTCCATAAACAAATTATTTACTTAAATTGTTTTTTAATTCTTAGAAATTTCAAGGACAAAATGTAAAAATTGCGCTGCAGTGTGAGTGTGATGATCCTAATGATAAACTGTGTGAAATACAGAATGTTAATAGAAATATTATTTACATTATCGAATAGGGGCTAAACAACTGATCATGAATTTATATATTCCCCTAAAAATAGAGAACATAAAAAAAGAAGAGGGAGAGTTTTAATTCTATTAAATACATAATATTTATGTGGAAGCGTGATTCATGTTCATTGATTCAGTCCTGTCCACATTATAGAAAGCGATTTTCCACATTAATAAGCATAAAATAAATTTGTGTGGATGCAGTACATGGGAGTCTAACAGTTTAATTGAAACGTGTGATCTAAAACCAATTTACACAGCATTTTTAAATGTTTATAAGTATTTTGCATGCAGTTTTCATGAGCTCATGTGGCATATTTCTTTTTTTTTTTAAATACTTCTGTCATGCTGCAAGACCTTTAAAATTAACTAGTGAGGGCTGAAAAACAGCCCTGTTCATTTGTCAACTACACAAAGACAGCTGAACGCGAGCGGACCTTCATGACGCCCTGCTGAATGAGAGGAGAAGAGTGGTTGACCAGGACGAGAAGAGCCTCCGGCTGGATGAGTTTGTCCATCACCTCCTCCAGCAGGAGGTCCGGCAGCAGGAGCAGAACTCCTCTCAGCAGATCGTACAGACCGCAGCAGATCAGAACCAGACAGTCTTCAGCACTGGACCTAAATGATTCAGAAAACACACACATGAAATCATCACTGAGGAGTGGAGAAGCGTCAGATCTTCAGCGGTGACTCAGAGCCTGTTAACTGAAAAACACTCAGCACGCAAAATACAAACCTTTTTTTTTATTACTGAATTGTCACAAAAATAACTAAAATGTTATCATGATATAAAATTACTCATACTGTGATAACAGTATAAACAAAAGGGAAATCAATATTTGATAGACGGCATTGTTAGAATTGGATAAAAAAGAAGCAAAGTGTTTCCCAACAAGAGCCCTAATGACAGCTCAGACACATCTGTAAGGCCGAAATATGGTTTGTGGATTGGAGTTTAGAGTTAAAGTCGTTAACTTTTAATGAGTGTAAGTGATTATTCAGTAGATGGGATATATCTTTAGTGCAGGAAAGGCAATGACGAAGACAGGAGGCAATTACCCAGTAACTGTTGACTGAAAGAGCACATTAAAGAGATGATGTAACTTATAAATGAAGGCTAATATTACAAGTCATTAATCTCCAAAACTCAGCGGCAGAAATTAGCATAATTAAAGAGTGTTATTCATCACAAGGAATTTAAAAGAGCTCCCTGGATATATTACACACATCTAGAACAACTACACACACACACACACACACACCATGCAACGCATTTGAGAAAGGCTAAACGATTCTGAAGTGTCTCAATTCGCTCCCTAGTTCAGTAGTAAGCACACTACCTAGGGACTCTACCATTCCCAGGGCTGTCCTACAGTCAAAATGGTTTTTCTTATTGGAGACAGCTCCATACAAAAAAGTATGTGCATGAAACTATTTTGCATGATTTTACTGTAAATGCCTACTTTTCACAGATACACTAACTTAGAAAGTAGGACTGCACGATTATGACAAAAATCGTAATTGTCGATTATTCCTTTGAAATTGTAATTGCGATTATTAATTTGCGATTAAATGAATGATGTTTACACCTTTGTTTGAAGCAATTGCATGCCATATTTTTAATATGAAAATAAACAAGCTGAAAACACTAACTGAAAAACTTTTATTGCTTTTCTAGTATTAAGCCTCAAATGTCAACTATACATCGGATTGGTTTCTCTTTAAATAAAAAGTAAAAAATATGAATGGTATTATAATGTTATACTAAAACTAAAATTAAAACAATGGAAAAACCCTTAAGATAACATGTAGAAAGAAAAAAAACCATCTTAAGCATGCAGAATAACATAAGTGGACTTTGAACGATTAATTGCTGCTTTGAATGATTATGTAATTGTGGCATCCGTAATTGTAATTGCGATTAGAAAATTTTATTAATTGTGCAGCCCTATTAGAAAGCATTACAAACCATTTAAAAAGCTTATTTAAATGTTATTATTAAAAGTTATTATCATTAGCTAAAACTAAAAACAACAACAAAACACTATTAGTTACTTTAAATAAAATAAACATTAATTAAAATAAAAAAAATTAAATATTACAAATATTTTATTTCAGCTTGTTGCAACATTCCTCATTTTCTTTTAGTTTGTAAAATAACAAACTAAATAAACTAAAATGAATAAATGAAAATTAAAAAATGAATAATAATAATACAATTATTAATCATTTTAATTATTAAAACACTATATTAGTATAAAGTTAAAGTGAAAACAGAAAAAAAAAAATCTAATTCAACATATTAGATGTAGACAAAAATGAACAAAAACTACAACAGCATATCAGTTATACTAAAATAACACTGAAGTGTAATAATTTGGCCTAAAATATTATCACGGCAACCATGAATATATATAAAAAAAAATATTTTGGTTAATGATTACTTTTCTCATGTGGATTGATCATAATTACTAATTACATTATGAGACATTTTCTACTTAAATCATCTAATGTGATTAAACTCCACCCACATCTCAACATCCAATCAACGAACAATGCACAGAACTGAGGCACAGCTAGACATGTGCCGGTATTCGGTAATGCGATATATCACGGTAATGAATATGCACGATATTGTTATCGTGGGCACTTCTAAATACCGTGAATAATTATATATTACAAATTATTCAGAATTTTGATGCATTTTAAAACTTTTAACTTTGTACATTTTTCTGTATTGCTTTATTGCATTTAAATGTTCAATTATTTTTGTAATAAGAAAAAAGTTATTAAACCTGTTATACTGTATTATGACAGCACTTTTTTTTTAAACTAAATTTCAATATCGTGATAATACCGTATACCGTGATAAAAGCATTAGCAATTAATCGCAACATGAAAATTTGATACCGGCATATCCCTAGGCACAGCCCTACATTTTTCTTTCTCGATAATCCGTTACACTCGGATATACATCACAATCCAGAAGAAAATGTATTTTGCTACTTCAGTTTTATCATGTTTAATATGCTGGCTACAATTTTTTCACCTCCGCATTCAAAATGCTAGGGTTTTCAACAACATAAAATCATCTGGTGTTTTCAGAGTACCTGTCATTACTGGAGTCCGCCTTGCTGTGTCTGTCATACCCGGGTGAGTAGGTGTAACTTTCCCAGTCGTCTGGTGGAGCGGCACGGTCAGCCACGGTGGGCCAGCGAGCAATAGTCAAAGAGCCGCTCTGTGCGGGAAAAGCCAAACCCAGACTGGCCAGGTTACTGTGGCTCCTCTGGAAGGACTGGATTCCCTTCAGGCTGTCTGGCCGGCGTGGTGCTTCCTCGCTGGTCCAATCGAAATGGTCCTCAGAGTCCGGCGGGCTGCTGTTGTGCTCCTCCTCTACGTTGATGAATGGCGTTTGGTTTCCCGCGACACTGCCCTCCTCATCACCGCCCACGTTCTGGGAATCACAAATGGTCTTTGCAGACTCACAGCTGCTGAGGAGCTCGTCTCCTCCTCGCTTCAAGGTCTCCGTGCTGCCCAGGTCCTGCTGGGTACTCAGGGACGTCCCTTCTTCAGGCTCGGCGGTCCCCGTCACGCTCCCATGGGTCAGACGGGGCGTCAGGGCTGGAGAAGAGTGTGGAGACGGGCCCATGCTTGGGGGACGCAGTGACAGATCTTCATCTCCATGCTCGGGGGACGAAGCATGGCGTACTGTGGGACCAAAAAACACAACATTTAGTCAGAATCTACGTTTTCAGGACAAGTTTGACAATGACAAGTTTTTCGTGTTCAGATTTGACAGTAAGTGTTTCCAGACTAGTTTTTGTGACATTTTAAGTATCAACATAGAATTTATGCACTAAAGCTAAACAAAAAAAAGACTTATACTCTTGAGAAATTGCATCAATAAACGGCATTTCCATCAGCTATTTCAGTAAAAACTGATGCACTAAGCCTTCCCTCCCAAACAAATCCTTGGAAGGAAGCCTGGCTTATAAGGCATGAAGATAATAAGATAATATAAACATTAAAATCATGATTTTCTCTAAAGCTGCTTTCAAATGAAGCGTATTGTGAAAACCACTATATGAATGAATTTGATTTGACTTGACAGGCAGGTCAGCGCTGTTATTGATTTGTATTCGTCAAAGGTCACGTGTTTCAAAGCTTAATAAGGCGCAGCAGCGGCATCCAGTCAGACAAGGACATTTTCAACGAATAATGCTTGTAAAGTGCAACAGAATGAGTAAGCATGACTTTTTTTTTTTTTTTGACCTTCTCATGGGCGGCAGTGATGCGTTACCTTCAGCGGGCGTCTCTGTGAAGACGGTGGGAGACAGTGAAAGCACAGAGCTGCAGGCTGATTTCCCGCCACTGCTGGAGTGCCGCAGGTACATCATGGACTGAACCTTCTCCTGGTACAGCTTACCATCTGATGAAAAAAAAACATGCATGAATTAAAATGTTCTTGTTTACTATCAAATCTACACAGGATATGCAGAAAGAATGATTACTAATGAGGAAGAATGAGCTGTAAGCTCGATGCTAGACTACTGCAACCATAAAATGAAAATAAAGCAGGTTAACCTGCTTGTCAGAAATCTCTTGAGATAAACATGATCTATGCATTTTTTCCCTTTTGACTGTCAAAATACTATCAGCATTGCTATAAATGCTTATAAATATGGTTAGAAATGATATCTTATTTAAATCAGAAGGCCAGAAACATCACCTTTTGAAGTTTAATCGGCACATTAAGGCAAGTCGCAATTCTGGTCTTTCCGTCCCCAAATTTAAGACCTCTTGAAATCCTAATTAAGACTTTCTTCTACTATTTAAGACTTTTTATGGCCTTAAAATTGATAAAACTAAATTTAAGACTTTTTAAGGACTTTTTGAAGTCATACAGGTTTGGAAAAGCGCAAATGATGACAGAATGATCATAAACTATTGCTTTAATGACTCATTCTGATCAGATTGGGGTTTTCTGAAGGTTTGCTCACCGATGTGCAGAGAGAAGTAGAAGCTGGTGGGCGTGTGGCATACGTATGTGTTGGTGGGGGGGTGAACAGCCAGCAGGAAATTATAGACCAGCCGCAGCAGGTCCAGGTCTGGAGGAGACCCCAAAACCTCCTGGATGATTTTGACAAACGAGAGGCAGACCTCCTGTGGGATGGAGGTCAGGTACTCGTCCCGATGCTCCTATGAGAATAATAAAGATGATGTTCCAAAATGAGCCACACAGTGAACTATGATTGGTCTTCTTTCCTGCATTAATTACATCGTGAATGGCACTTGGTTGTATGTTTCATACTCTTTCTCTATGATGTTTCTAATGATGTGCTGAAATCACTTTTTTATTGAAACACCGAAAACTGAAAGTTTTCATTTAACAGAAAACCAAAAAGTTTTACTTTATTTAATAATCAACTAATTAATCAATGTATTTAAAAATCAATCAACATTCAAAAAAATTAAAATAATACATTAAAATTTAAATAAAAAATGTATATAAAAATTTAAATTGCATATAAGGCAGTTATATATATATATATATATATACTTTTTAATGATCAATTAATTTGGGGTTGAAATATAAAAAAAAATGTAAGTTATCATGGCAGAATTATTCAGACATATATTAAATAATGAAGACAGCAGTTTAAGAAAAATATAGAGCATATATTTAGTAAAATGCGTCTCTCCAGACTTATTTTTTCTAGCGTTTATGGACACTGAATGGCAGGAAATTAGGGAAATATGACGTTGTTTTACTGACATTTTTCGAAGTGTAATGAACGTCTTACCTGAAGCACCTGGCAGGCGAGCAGGAAGCGATGAACCACCTGCGCCTTGAGAAGCTGTCGTATGTTGAACATCTGCTGAGGATGATGCACCCGGATGAGGATCTCTAAAGCGGTCAGCAGCGTCTCCCACACACCACACTATCTCACACACACACACACACACACACACACTACAATAAGCTCTCTATAAAAATAACTCTATGGTATGTTCTCATTCAGATGTGAGTGTGTACCTGTGCTTTGGCCCATATCTTCCAGTCCAGCAGTATTTCAGAAAGCAGTCTGAGATCTTGCAGCACCACAGTGGATTCAGCATCCAGATGGAACTGACCGTCTTCTCCGATCGTAAGGATTGACCCGCTGCAGCAGCCGTCCAACAGTGTCTATAACACACACACACACACAGACACAGATATTGCTGAGCTGCAGTCTAAAATCAAACTTCAGCAGTATTCAGAAGGCTAAAACAGAGCAAGTATTTTTCAGTCTCATTAATCTGATGTATTTCAGAAAACAAGAATATACTGAGAGGGACAAAACATTCTCACTGACAGTCTGCATTAAACGTGTCAACCAGCAGGGTGTGCTGTTTAGTACAACAACAGCACAAGTGCACAGATTTATTAGTTAACTAAAACTAAAACTGAAGCCATTAAAAAAAAAAACATTTTGTTACTTGAAATAAAAAGTTAACACAAAATATAAAAAAAACTATAGACATTTAAAAAAAATACAAAAACATACAACAAAATTGCTACAACTTTAACTAAAATTCAAGTAAAAACAGAAAATCTAAAAGTAAAATATAATTAAAAAGTTAACTAAAATAAAATGAAATTAAAAAAAAAATTCTAATTTATTTATTTTAAATTGAAGTACTACAAAAATCAAAACTAAAAAAATAATAAAAACTATATAGACATGTTTTTTTTAAACAATAATTACAAAAACATACAACAAAATGAAAACAGAAAAATATAAATATAAAATTAAATTAAAACTAATACAAAAAAAAATATAGATATATTTAAAAAAATAAAATAAAAATGACAAAAGCGTACAACAAAATTACTAGATTTTAAGATTTAAGTGAAAAAAATTAAAATAAAATATTATTAAAAATGTAAACAAAGACTATAATAGTATATCAATGATACTAAAATAACTAAAGCTGGCTCCGCTGATGTAGTAAAAAAATTAAAATAAAAAAATTTACAGCTAATTTATGATATTTAATATGTATCAAAAGATTTTTAATTAGAGGAACTATCATGTTCAATTAACAGTCATCTTTAGGAAACTTTGACCAAATAAAAAGCAGAATCAAATATTACGATTTTCATGCTGCTGCTTAATTTTAAATTGTCATTATAAAAATATTGTTAATATATAATGCGTAGGCTAAAACTCACCTTCAGAACGTGGTATCCCACAATGCACTTGGGCTTGATGAGAACCTGGTGAATCATGGAATAGCCGTGGTAACACTGCATCTCATGAGTGCGATGCTGGTTGGTTTTAACCAGAGACAGCAGCAGCTGCAGCGCCAGAGATTGAGTTTTCTCACAGTCGCTCAACTCTACCGCCTACAAGAACCAACAGACAGACAGAAAGAGTTAAGCGCAATGTGATTCTGATGTTCCTGCTGCTAAAAATCACTGTATGCGTGAAATACATCACATAGTGAAAATGAAGTGGGTTATTACTTTGTTTTCATGCTGGCAATCTTAGATCAGTGTTATAACACACAGAACAGAGGAAGCCTCAGCTAACAACACTTGATTATTAATGCTGCCTGCGAAACAAACATGATGTGCGCCAAACTAAACAACCTAACTCAACTAGATCCATCTGCACTAAATTATTTAATCATTTAATAAATGTCAGTTATTTGGCATCATACCCAAGGACGAGCATCTGTTGCTATTTTAATTAGCACTGCTCCTCAATTATTAAAAATTTTTTTTTTGGTCTCACTAAGCATGGTTCACCCTAGTTGCTTTTCAACATGTATGGTTTAGATCATGTCAATAATTTTTCTTACTCAAAATTATGGAGTAAACACCACAAATGTCATGATAACCCCAAACTTTTGAATGGTAGTGTATGTTAGTTTAAAAACAGTAATATGTGCTTCTGTGTTTTTGTTATCATGACAGACTGATCTGAAATGAGAGAAAGAGAGAAAGATAGAAACACAAAGCGAGGCTTTGAGATGACTGTCGAGAGCTGTCTGAAGGATAATGTGAGGGAACGCAGTGTGAAAGAGAACGTCCCGGGTCAGAACATGCCGACCAAAAATCCAATATTGCCCTCTGAATGAAAGAAACATTATCAGATTACATTACCAGCAAAAAATGTGTACTGGAATATGAAGGAAAGACTGAAGATACCTTCACTAGAGACTTTAAAGCATAATATTCAGATTTACCTCATCCTCTCAAACATTACTGCTTTGATTAAAAAGCACAGCCACCAGATACAGTCAGAGCTTTTGTGAATCAGCATTCAAGAAGTTCACAAAAATGTAGTCAAAATTCCTGTATTTTTAACGTATATATGACATTGAAATGAAATAAAATATAGAAAAACTGAATCTAATTTTAATTCAGCAAGTTACAAAGGCAACATTTCTCATTTCTGAGCACTAAAATGACTAAAACTAAAATTAATAAATAAAAACTACAAAGACATACTTAAAAAAATACTAAAACCTTAAAATTAAAATGAAAACAGAAAATATAAAAATAAAATATAATAGTGCATCCATTATATTAAAATATCACTGTGTGGCATTGGTATAAATAATATAAATAATGTTTTAATAATAAAAAAATGTATGTATGACTGATTCAGAGAGTAAGAAATCTTTTCACCTGATCATGATATCTCTGTTTATATGTTGAAACAAATACTGCTTTATTGTCTTTTTTTTTTTTAATCCCTCTCGTTAAAAAGCATCAACAAAAGGAGTTCAACTAAAAGATCTGGTCAAAATGCATAACCATTGTGTGTTTGTGTGCAGAAGTGCAGTGACAGATAACTCATTCCACACGTTCCTGGTCTCTACTAGTGATGAATATGCAGACAAACACATACCCGAGCGAACAGGAAGACAAAAGCGCCGGTGCCTCCGATCATGTGCAGGACGCTGTGTAGGCCGAGAGCCTGGCAGGGCGTCATGGTCCTGAGGAAAGGAGGCTCCAGGATGGAGCTCTGAACCTCTTTGGCACTGAAGGGCCGCTGGGAAGCCACCGTTGACTTGGCCTGGCCCTTCAGACGGATCACCGGCTCATATATGGTGTAGAGAGACGGCATGCTGGGGGCATAAACTACTGCTAAACTCTCCTGCAAAAACACAAATGCACATATGTTGAGATGCAGGCAAAGGAAAGTATTTTTCTTGTTCGGTTTGAAATGAAAGTTCAATGTTGCATGCAGGCTCTAACATAGAGATCTAAAGGTGCGATCAGATTTGCAGTGTGGGACTAAATGTGAGAGTAGTAAGTGGAACCGAGTGGTTTTCCTAACAGTGAGGTTTGCCCTCTCTACAGTAATGGAAATTCTTGACTGTCCTAAAACATAGGCTTCATTTTTTATGCTAATATATTATTAACCCTATAAAGCCTACCGTTTCATATTTACTAAGTGAATTTCTAAGGCCTGTAAATAATCAACATGTTCAAACTTTGCTGTTAAACCTGTTGCACACAATCATGCCTTCTGTCACCTGATTGATAGTTTAGAGTTTTTTTCAGCAAGTAAAAGGTCTTTTAGTAAAATTGTGCAAATGTCCACCTTCAGCTCTTGCTTCACGCGTCTTTTTGTTGTTAAATCTTTATTTATAAAGTAAAATATAAGAATATCTTTGATATTCTTAGTAATATTTCCAGATGAAGCAGCTTGGCTTTACTTGATTCTCCATCAATCATTTTGTAGAAAAATCAGTGCGTCTCAAATCTGATCATCAGGATCTTTTGAGGAGCGTTTATTTGTTCATCTCTCAATCATCATTGGATTGCATTGCATTATATGTTTTGATTACTATCTAAGCATCTCATCTTACTCAGACCTATTATTGGAGATACAGAGTGACTACTGATATTTATATCATTTTATGTAAGTATCTGCTGTACTGTTATAAAGATCTCATTGATTTACATTAGAAGCTTCAGAATTTCATCTTACTTTTTGGCCATATATAAATATCAGCATTTGCACCAAATTAAGTCATTTTTATTAGTTTGGGCCTCTGAATAAAAACTGATTTTTCTCTTCATATTCTCACTATATCAGACTATATGAACCATATATGTACCAAAACATGATACTCGATAAAAAAATATGCAAACTTGTTTTACATTTTGTCTAAAGATTTTCTTATTTATTTTATTGTTTAAGGTTCAATAAAGTCTTCCATTTCAAAAAATGTGATTTTCTGACTATTATTTCATATATCAGGCTGACAAGGTTAATGTTTTTCTTTCAATCTCGAGGTGAAATATCACTTGGACAGGTTACTGACAAGATTTCTTTAGATAAATGTGTACAATACTTTATATTAGCACTAGATATTGTCAGAAAAGATCTGAAAAAGAAGCATATTCATCCATGAGGAATGAAGGTTTGTGCTGAAATGACTTTTTCTGATGGCAGTAATTATCGAGCATGTAATGCATTAGCATAGGAACACCTGGAACAGCATGCAGACGTGTAAAATCACCGGTAATTAAGACGTCAGTGGGTAAAACTGCACAGAGAAGGCACTTCAACAAGCAGCAAATGATGTACAAATGGACAAATAATGTTGCCTGCTTTTCAGTGGCAGTGAAGGAGATAAACGAGCTATTGAACTATGTCACTGCCATATACATTTGCATAAAAGCCTTCTGGTGAAATATGTGACATTTGGGAAAAAATAAAATAAATTCATATTCATAGATGCAGTGGCTTACAATAAGAGGTGCGATGTCAATGTCTGTATTCCTCATGAGGAGCTCTCGTATCTGCTCACACTGAAGACCCTCCTGTGTCACATACTTGGATAGTGTCCCATGAGGCTTGCCGTACTTGCAGGGCATGATGGAGGTGAGGTCAGGACCGCTGGCAAACAGGTAAAAAGCCTCCGCAGTGTCAATTCTGGAACCTAAAACAACCAATAACCAGTTTATATGTAGGCAAATATCACCGTTTATTACTGTATACTGTATTGTTGCATATAAATGAAATGGTTAAATATCATTCGTCTGTGTTGTTTTAATGAAAATACAGTAAGGGTGGAAAACATGCCTTGATTCATTTAAATGTGTCTGCATTTTTCACATAAATATCAAAAAATACATGAACATCCTTTAAAAAATGAAGAATGTTTAAATGTTTTAAGATTTATATGAAGTTTTTTTTTGTCACTGTTATTATTGTTTTTAAATATTAGTATTTAGATTTAATTAATTTTTTATTTTGTTTTATTTTTTATTTATTTCCAGTTATTAATTTTAGTGCACCAATTTAAAGTAAACTTATTTCAGTTAGTTGACAAGGCAACACTTCTAATTTTTGTTTAGTTTAGGTTTTGGATCTAACGTTTATATTTTATTGTATTTTATTTCAGCTTCATTTCAATTAACAAATATGTTTCTAATAGTTATAATAGTTGCCATATCAGCTTTAACAAATAATATAATAAATACAAACATTTTATGAAATTCAATTTTGAAAAAAAGACCAACCAATTTGTTTATGCAACTCTAAAAAAGATTCATTAAATGTACTTATGATAAAAAAAATTGTAAAAGTTTTTCTTTGTCCATTTTACAAAATAAGTCCTTCAAAGTTTGTCTTGATAAAAACCGTTGTCTCATGACATAAAAAAATGGCAAGACCAAAAACATATATTTTACAGACATTAGTGCAACAATATTGACATTGAGCTATATGTGAAATATGTGAATTGACAAACGACAATAGACAAGAAAGAATAATAACAGAGAGTGTGGTGGATGAAAAGCTGTGACCTAAAGACAAATAAACAAAGTGGGGAAAAAAACAAAAAAAACATTGAGGGCAGCACTGGACCACATAACCACATTAGAGCGTTTCACAAGTTGGGAACGGCTGGACTGGGCCCATTCATGACCTATTAGTAGCAACAGAATGGCTATTCTGTTAAGAAAAGTGTGTTGTGTGGAGGGAATGTGGAGAATCTGTGGCTCACACACAGAAACTTCCAGCAGCAGGAAGATCCCACGTTACCTACAACATCACTGCCGCTGAAAGCACATACAAATAATCTTTCCAACAACACGAAGCGGTGATATTTGATTACTATTTATATACTATTATTGTTTTTTTGTTGGTAACATTTGTCAACATTATTTAATGCATTAGCTAACTATTTCTCACAGCTTTTATTAATCTATGCCCCATTTTCCACCACAATAAAATGTTTTTTTTGTTATAGGACTTTTTTTTAGGACTTTGAGATATAAATTGAGAATTCAGATTTTTTTTTTTCCCCCACACAATTGCAAGTTTCTCTCTCGCAATTCTGACTTTTTTTTTGTTTCCACCATGGAACAAAACATTT